GAAAATGGTAGCCACAACAGCCCGTATTTACTAGAATTAAGTTAGTTCATTCTGGTCCAGTATTATTAAACGATAAAAATTAACGACTTCAACTTTTGCTATCAACAGCAAAGGGACATAACCAAACACTTGCAGTCAACTAACCCAGTCAACTAACCCAGTCAACTAACGTGTGAGCTGTCTACCACAATCCTCTGGTTTAACTAACACGAAATCGTCAACAATTACGGAACCATCGTACAAAGCTACATTATATCATCCAGTTAGAGCGTTCAGAATTTGATGACTTACCCATCATGCATTTCTGAACGCTCGAAATACTGCGGAAAGTTTGATGTATTTTTAATATACCTTCAGTAGTTTCTTTGCTCACTTTCTGTGTAACAATACAATGATGGGTAATTATACATTAATGCTGAAGCTTAGATTTAAATGGAAAAACCCCTGTCCCATTTAGAGGACAGAAAGATTGACAAAATAGACAGGGCAGCGGATTACGAAATTCAATAAACTTGAGCGGCAGCTAACATTGCTTGGTTACAGCAACTCGGCGGAGCATTGCTCCAGCCAGGCTGAGCATTGCTCCAGCCAAGCTGAGCATTGCTCCAGCCAGGCTGAGCATTGCTCCAGCCAGGCTGAGTATTGCTCCAGCCAGGCTGAGCATTGCTCCAGCCAGGCTGAGCATTGCTCCAGCCAGGCGGAGCATTGCCCCAGCCAGGCTGAGCATTGCTCCAGCCAGGCTGAGCATTGCTCCAGCCAGGCTGAGTATTGCTCCAGCCAGGCTGAGCATTGCTCCAGCCAGGCTGAGCATTGCTCCAGCCAGGCTGAGCATTGCTCCAGCCAGGCTGAGCATTGCTCCAGCCAGGCTGAGTATTGCTCCAGCCAGGCTGAGCATTGCTCCAGCCAGGCTGAGCATTGCTCCAGCCAGGCTGAGCATTGCTCCAGCCAGGCTGAGCATTGCTCCAGCCAGGCGGAGCATTGCTCCAGCCAGCGGAGCATTGCTTTCCCGCCAGGCTGAGCATTGCTCCAGCCAGGCTGAGCATTGCTCCAGCCAGGCTGAGTATTGCTCCAGCCAGGGTGAGCATTGCTCCAGCCAGGCTGAGCATTGCTCCAGCCAGGCTGAGCATTGCTCCAGCCAGGCTGAGCATTGCTCCAGCCAGGCGGAGCATTGCTCCAGCCAGGCGGAGCATTGCTCCAGCCAGGCTGAGCATTGCTCCAGCCAGGCTGAGCATTGCTCCAGCCAGGCTGAGCATTGCTCCAGCCAGGCTGAGCATTGCTCCACCAAGCTGAGCATTGCTCCAGCCAGGCTGAGTATTGCTCCAGCCAGGCTGAGCATTGCTCCAGCCAGGCTGAGCATTGCTCCAGCCAGGCTGAGCATTGCTCCAGCCAGGCTGAGCATTGCTCCAGCCAGGCGGAGCATTGCTCCAGCCAGGCGGAGCATTGCTCCAGCCAGGCGGAGCATTGCCCCAGCCAGGCGGAGCATTGCTCCAGCCAGGCGGAGCATTGCTCCAGCCAGGCGGAGCATTGCTCCAGCCAGGCGGAGCATTGCCCCAGCCAGGCGGAGCATTGTTCCAGCCAGGTGTTAACCAATAATCAGGAACTACTAGACGATAAGCCTGAAGTAAGAGACCAACTTAATCCAAACTACATAACACTTGTCTCAACATTAGCTAGTTAATTTTTAGAGGACAGGGACACGGAGAAAAGTGTTTTTCTTGATAATAAGGAAAGTGTACGTTGTATCATATACCTGCCATCTACCGACGTGTCTGTCATCTACCAACATGTGTCTGTCATCTACCGATATGTTACCTGGAGGTTACCTGGAGGTTATTCCGGGGATCAACGCCCCCGCGGCCCGGTCCATGACCAGGCCTCCCGATGGATCAGGGCCTGATCAACTAGGCTGTTACTGCTGGCCGCACGCAGTCCGACGTACGAGCCACAGCCCGGCTGATCCGGCACTGACTTTAGGTATCTGTGTCTGTCATCTACCGATATGTGTCTGTCATCTACCGACATGTGTCTGTCATCTACCGATATGTGTCTGTCATCTACCGATATGTGTCTGTCTTCTACCGATATGTGTCTGTCATCTACCGATATGTGTCTGTCATCTACCGATATGTGTCTGTCATCTACCGATATGTGTCTGTCATCTACCGATATGTGTCTGTCTTTCTACCGATATGTGTCTGTCATCTACCGATATGTGTCTGTCTTTCTACCGATATGTGTCTGTCATCTACCGATATGTGTTTGCCATCTACTTGCCGATTCACTGACTTATCTACTTAGCAAGTCAATTTTCAGGGCGACTCAAAGCTCACCAGCACAGATTTCTAAACTTAATGCAATAAGAAAGGAGTTACTTCGATAAAATTATCTCGGGTGTTTGAGATGGATGTCTCCTGCAGGATCTTCAGATATTACACCGTGGCCAGAGCACCGGACTGGAGGCCGTCATAGCTAATTTTCAAGAGATGAGACCAAACAGCTGCCAAGCTTCAGTGATCTCTTCCAACACATTGTCAGATGAACTCAAATCAGCCAGTAACAGTCATCACCAAACAAATTTATATATCGACTGTAAAGAATTACAGACCAGTCAGTGTACTGAGTGTCATTTACAAACTGTTAGAGTAGGCAGTATATTACCTGGAGTTTACCTGGAGAGAGTTCCGGGGGTCAACGCCCCCGCGGCCCGGTCTGTGACCAGGCCTCCCGGTGGATCAGAGCCTGATCAACCAGGCTGTTACTGCTGGCTGCACGCAAACCAACGTACGAGCCACAGCCCGGCTGATCAGGAACTGACTTTAGGTGCTTGTCCAGTGCCAGCTTGAAGACTGCCAGGGGTCTGTTGGTAACCCCCCTTAAGTATGCTGGGAGGCAGTTGAACAGTCTCGGGCCCCTGACACTTATTGTATGGTCTCTTAACGTGCTAGTGACACCCCTGCTTTTCATTGGGGGGATGTTGCATCGTCTGCCAAGTCTTTTGCTTTCGTAGTGAGTGATTTTCGTGTGCAAGTTCGGTACTAGTCCCTCTAGGATTTTCCAGGTGTATATAATCATGTATCTCTCCCTCCTGCGTTCCAGGGAATACAGGTTCAGGAACCTCAAGCGCTCCCAGTAATTGAGGTGTTTTTATCTCCGTTATGCGCGCCGTGAAGGTTCTCTGTACATTTTCTAGGTCAGCAATTTCACCTGCCTTGAAAAGTGGTGTTAGTGTGCAGCAATATTCCAGCCTAGATAGAACAAGTGACCTGAAGAGTGTCAAGATCTAAATAAAAAAATATACGCAGTAATGAGTCAGGTTTCAGGGGATTTTATTCGACTGAAATTTGATTGAAACCTTTCACTAACCTATCAAGACTCAAATACTGGAAGAAAATTTCACAGGGATGGTAACGTTAGACGTACAAATAAATCATTCAAGAGAGAGCTGGACAGATACCTAAAGTCAGTGCCGGATCAGCCGGGCTGTGGCTCGTACGTCGGACTGCGTGCGGCCAGCAGTAACAGCCTAGTTGATCAGGCCCTGATCCATCGGGAGGCCTGGTCATGGACCGGGCCGCGGGGGCGTTGATCCCCGGAATAACCTCCAGGTAACCTCCAGGTATCCAGGTAACCAGCGACCATGAAGTGGTCTATATAGAACAAAATAACTACACCTAACATGGAATCAGAATCCTTGGTCCAGATCACGTGTGGTCCAATAAGGGAGCATCTCGGGTTCGTTACTAGTCTTGAACAATGGAACTGTGTGTGAACTCTTGCTGTACGCTGACGACTGTGTCTTCTTAGCGTCAGATACATTATACTGTGATATCACTAGCTGCATGGTTTGTTAGCGGGGTTTAAAGCCTCTCGACTACACGAGAGGTCTCTAATGCTATATGTTACCACCTCACCATGTGATGTCACCTCTGTGATGTCACGAGCAGTATTACAGCCCTCATACGAGTGCACCATCGTCACCATCACTCGACCACCATCTGTATCACCACCACCTGACCACCATCTGCATGATCACCACCACCACCTGAACTTCCAATCTTCTCCTCCCCTTCCCTTTCCATCTCAGGCAAATCACTAACCACCACCACCACCACCACCACCACCACCTACCTATAGTACCGTTTAAGTCACCCACTAACTACTTCCTTCCGCAACCACCCCGTCTTCCCCTCCACAACCCCCAACCAAAGAGAGAAAAAAAGAAACAATCCCTTAACCCCACCGACCTACAGCCCCGAAATTTCTCAGGGAATCTGCTCAGCAGGCAGGACCATTGTTGACATCACAGGGGCACCATGGCCACCATTGTTACCATTCTAGCGGAACACGACCCACACACGATCAGGTAACCAGCGTCTCCCCTCTCCTAAGATGCCATATAATCTCAAGGATATTGCTCTCTCCCTCCCTCTCTCTCTCTCTCTCTCCCTCCTCTCTCCTCTCTCTCTCTCTCTCCTCTCTCTCTCTCTCTCTCTCTCTCCTCCTCTCTCTCTCTCTCTCTCTCTCTCTCTCTCTCTCTCTCTCTCTCTCTCGGTAAAGAGAATTGTGTTTGGGTGTCTGAGAAGCAGTGAACCATATGTACACACGGCTGTGGTGGTTCTTTCTTTTGTAAACACACACACACACACACATTTTCGTTTTACCATATCTTTGATAAAGATAGATAGATAGATAGATAGATAGATAGAGAGAGAGAGAGAGAGAGAGAGAGGGAGAACCGGAAGTACCACTGGGCATGACCCGGGATGCTGGGATCAGGTCACAAGATTCATTCATCTAGTACCTTCTTGGTCACACCCAGATACTACCCAACACTTGCCTCGTTACGACCCTGTCCCCCGAAGCAGCCACAGACAGACCTGTCGTAGTAACCCCACCACCACAGACAGACCCGTCGTAGCAACCCCATCACCACAGACAGAACTGTCTACCATCGAGCTACCTACGTGCAGCGACAGACCCGTACGGAACATCCCTCTTACCTTTAGTATGCAGCATCTTGAGATGGTCCACTGTCATCTGAAGGATCTCAGCCTTCTCCAGCTTGGCTGATCCTTGCTTCTCGAAGGCAGCTGGTACCAGTCGTCGTAACTCGGAGAGGGAGTTGTTGATCCTGTCTCTCCGTCGCTTCTCTATGATGCCTCGCCGTCTCTTCCTGGAGGCACCACCGCCTCCACCGCTGGAGGAACAGTCTTCACCGCTGTTCCAGAGAGAGGGAGAGATGCGGTAAGTGAGACATTTCTGTAAATATAAGACTGAATTGTATGTGTTTTGGACAGGTGTGTGACAGCTGTTTATATATATCATAAATATACTCGTGCATGTGTCATACATATGTATGGCACATTCTACAAGTGTCATACAACCCTAAGATACATCAACGTCACAACGTCAAAAAAAATAAAAAAAAAAAAAAAAACAGAATCAACATTTTTGATCAAGCACCGCAACTGGTAGATGAACATGTGACATCACTTAATTGTATGATAAACAAGAGCGCCTATTGGTAGATGCATAAGTGACGTCACACCTGATGATAAACAAGCAGTCTGACTGGCAGATGCACACGTGAACAGGCGCTGTGATTGGAAGCTGAATAAGTGACGTCACTCAGTTGTAAACACGATAATAATAATAATAATAATAATAATAATAATAATAATAATAATAATAATAATAATAATAATAATAATAATAATAACAACAACAACAATAATAATAATAATAATAATAATAATAATAATAATAATAATAATAATAATAATAATAAAGAAAAGGAACAGATTACAGGGAAGCTTTAGGCAGGACAGTTTCTGTGGAGAGCTTTATCAAGTCATGTTTGACTATGTAGAGCTTTAATAAGTCTTGTTTGACTCTATGTAGAGCTTTAATAAGTCTTGTTTGACTCTATGTAGAGCTTTAATAAGTCATCTTTGACTCTATGCGGAACTTTAATAAGTCGTGTTTGACTCTATGTAGAGCTTCAATAAGTCATCTTTGACTCTATGTAGAACTTTAATAAGTCTTGTTTGACTCTATGTAGAGCTTTAATAAGTCATCTTTGACTCTATGTAGAGCTTTAATAAGTCATCTTTGACTCTATGCGGAACTTTAATAAGTCGTGTTTGACTCTATGTAGAGCTTTAATAAGTCATCTTTGACTCTATGTAGAGCTTTAATAAGTCATCTTTGACTCTATGTAGAGCTTTAATAAGTCTTGTTTGACTCTATGTAGAGCTTTAATAAGTCATCTTTGACTCTATGTAGAGCTTTAATAAGTCATCTTTGACTCTATGTAGAGCTTTAATAAGTCATCTTTGACTCTATGTAGAGCTTTAATAAGTCATCTTTGACTCTATGCAGAGCTTTAATAAGTCATCTTTGACTCTATGTAGAGCTTTAATAAGTCATCTTTGACTCTATGCGGAACTTTAATAAGTCTTGTTTGACTCTATGTAGAGCTTTAATAAGTCATCTTTGACTCTATGTAGAGCTTTAATAAGTCATCTTTGACTCTATGTAGAGCTTTAATAAGTCTTGTTTGACTCTATGTAGAGCTTTAATAAGTCATCTTTGACTCTATGTAGAGCTTTAATAAGTCATCTTTGACTCTATGTAGAGCTTTAATAAGTCATCTTTGACTCTATGTAGAGCTTTAATAAGTCATCTTTGACTCTATGTAGAGCTTTAATAAGTCATCTTTGACTCTATGTAGAGCTTTAATAAGTCATCTTTGACTCTATGTAGAGCTTTAATAAGTCATCTTTGACTCTATGTAGAGCTTTAATAAGTCATCTTTGACTCTATGTAGAGCTTTAATAAGTAATGTTTGAATCTGTGTAGAGCTTTATTAATAAATTATGAAGTTGCCCGAATCATTGAACGTTCTGATGAACTCCCGTGAAGAAGTCGAACTTTGAACCCCCAGCATAACTGTTCAAAGGGATGAACAAATACGTAAGGTACACTTCTGAACAACAGGAAGAATACGTTAAACAGTGAATCCAACAACAGAATGGAAAACGGGATGAAAAGACTGAAGAAATGATGCAGACTAACAGGACGTTTAACAGTGTGAACAGGATGAAGAACACCATGAACAACGGGTGAACAGCAGGATGATAAGCAGGGTGATCAACAGAACGAACAATAGGATGAACATCTGGGCATCAAGTTGAGAACAATATGGCTGGAAACAGGAAGAATAACAGAATAAACAAGGTGAAACAACAGGATGAACACCTGAGTGAACAACAGGGCAGAAAATAGGAAGAATAACACGATGAACGGAATTAAGAACACCTTGAACAACGGGGGTTAACAGGATGAAAGATATGAAAGAGCGTGAAAAATACGATGAACAGCATGAACGGAATGACCAGAGTGAACAAAGGGGGTGAACATAACAGGACCAGTCGCACACAATGAGCTCTGGTTAATGTCAAGAGGTTAGAGCGAGTGAACACAATGTATTCAGAGTTCAACGAGGGAAAGCATAATGAACACATGCACACAACACAGCACGGCTGAACACGATGAATTGATGTGAACTTTATGAACAAGTGTTAACATGAAATCAGGTGAATGTGTTGAACAAACGTGAACACAGAGGTGAATGTGTTGAACAAACGTGAACACAGAGGTGAATGTGTTGAACAAACGTGAACACAGAGGTGAATGTGTTGAACAAACGTGAACACAGAGGTGAATGTGTTGAACAAACGTGAACACAGAGGTGAATGTGTTGAACAAACGTGAACACAGAGGTGAATGTGTTGAACAAACGTGAACACAGAGGTGAATGTGTTGAACAAGCGTGAACACAGAGGTGAATGTGAACAATTATGAACATTTTGATTATCAGTGAGATGCAAACTGATGAACAGTTATCTCAGAAGATATCATTATTATTATTATTATTATTATTATTATTATTATTATTATTATTACACTTTATTATTATTATTATTATTATTACACTGTATTAGTATTAGAATTATATTCAAGAGAAAGTTCTAAACCTGGAAGAATTTGGGGTAAGCAGGTGTGATCCAAGGAAGAGGAAGGGTAGCTCCAATTCCCTGGATCAAGAGCTCCTTACCAGCACCACCACACAAAATACACATTCCAACATATGCATACACAGGTGTTGAAAACGTTTTCTCACAGGTGTTAAACATGTGTAAACGCAGATGTAGATAAATATGTGTATATAAACATATGTTAATAAACATGCGTAAACATAAGCCTTAATAAACATGTGTAAACACAGGTGTTTAACATGTCTTCTCACAGGTGTTATACATGTGTAAACACAGGTGTTGATAAATGTGTCTATAAACACGTTGGTTAATAAACATGTGCAAACACAAGTTTTAATAAGCATGTGTAAACACAAGTGTTAATAAGCATATGCAAACACAGGTGTTTAACATGCCTTCTCACACGTGTTAAAATATGTCTTCTTACAGGTGTTAAACATATTTTCTCACAGGTGTTAAAGGTGTGCAAACACTGGTGTTAAACATGTGTAAACATAGGTGTTAATAAACATCTGTAAAGAGGTGTTAATACAGTGTAAACATAGGTTATTAAGCATGTGTAAACAAAGTGTTAATAGACATGTGTAATCACAGGTGTTAATAAAAATGTGTAAACACAGGTGTTAATAAACATGTGTAAACACAGGCGTTAATAAACATGTGTAAACATAGGTATTAACAAACATGCGTATACACAGGTGTTAAAAGCATGCGTAAACACGTGTTAACATATGTAAAAATAGGTGTTAATGTGTAAACTCTGGTGTTAATAAACATTTGCAAACAAATATTAAATATATGTCAACGCAGGTGTTAACAGGCATGTGTTTATAAACATTTTCTCACAGTTGAGAAAATTCAACATGTGTTTCAACACGTGTTAACAAGATATAAACAGCTGGTGACGAGAACAGGTATTAATGTGAACACGTGTGAACAGGCGTTAATTTGAACATGAAACAAAGGTGAACACGGTTAACACGTGAGAACAAGTGGTAATATGAACTGAAATGAACACGAAGCGCAGATGAACATGTGGCGATGTGAACGCCAGTGAGGAAAGTGAAGCACAGGTGAACACGCTATGAACACGACGGGTGAACAGGTGAGAACAGGTGGTAGCGCTTGACACTAGGTGAACACGGGTGAACACAGAGAAGGGGTGAACTCACTCCTTCTCATCAGCTGAGTAGATGTCATCTCCTTCACTCTCGCTGAGAGACCGCTTCATGGCGCTGGTGGGAGGCTGGTGTGGGAGATGATGATGCTGCTGGTGATGCTGCTGATGCTGGTGGTGGTGGTGGTGGTGGTGCAGCAGAGGCGTGGAAGGCCCTGCTGCTGCCTCCTGCTCACCCTGCTGCTGCAGGTCGCCCCTGAACGTCCCTCTACCTCTCACAATCATATAACACTTCCAGGGACCCCCTAGCGCCTCGCTAGGGGAGGCACAATATATGCGAGAATTATCTGGTATGGTTCTTGGCACTATGGCACAGGCACTTGATTAACTAAGGCACTATAATGGGTCAACAAGTAGTGGGTGTAATCCTGAGCGTGAGGCAGTGCGGGATGCATGCACGTGCGTGCGTGTGTGTGGACGCACGCGGTGCGTGTGTGCAGGGTGCTGGTGTGCTGGGTAGTGTCGTGTGCCGGCCGACTGTCCCGTTCATATACGACCGTGTGCCGGGGGGTGCTTCAGGCAACGCCAGACGTACGATCGCTCGGCTCCTAACACCCAGGTGCTGGCCCCTATGTGCTGCTCTGCTCGGCACGGTTCATGTGTCTGTGTGTGCTGTTGCCTCCTTCAGAGTGCTTCGTAAGGTCGATGTAGTTAGGAGTTTACTGTATTTAGATGGAGGTGTGTGTGTGTGTATGTGTGTGTGGCGTACACGTGTGTGTGTTTGGCGTACACGTGTGCGTGCGGCGTACATGTGTGCGTGTGTGTGCGAGTGTGTGAGCGGCGGTGTTCCCACGAGCAGCGTGTGAACCTCTCGCCACCTACTGTCTGGGACCACACGCTCGCCCCTCCCCTCCCCTCCCCAGGGGTCGCTCCCCCGACCCCACACTCCTGCCTCCCCCAGCACTCTCCTCCCTACGAGACCTGCAGGGGGGGAGGGGGAGGGGGGAGGGGAGGAGAAGCTAGTCGTCGGAAACGACAACTAGAAGTTGCAGGACGACAGCAGGTTGAGCCTGTGTCATGGTCGTCGCTGCTTGGGGGTGGTACACAGTAGTCCACGCTGACTGACACCGCAACATAACACTGTACGCTGCTTGTGAACCCTCACCCGCGCCACGCAGGCACAACCCACGCCTCCTCTAGGCGTTCACGTCACCCCTACATGCCCCCGACTTAAGGTTTAAGAGATACTCCGGTGTTCCATGGGTCGGTCTAGCTGTGGGCTGGTACCACAGGTCGCCCATGCCTTAGAGAAGCGTGGTTTAGTGCTGGGATCTGCCTGCTCTTCCGGTGGGTGGGGTGGACTGTGTGAGGGCAAGGAGCAGGTTAAACGATGTGCGGGTTGCCCACTCTGATGCCCCAGGGGGGGTTAAAGGGGAGGCGCTACCCACTTTGGTGCCTCGGGGATGTAAGGGGATGAGATGCCCACACTGCTGATACATCCTCGGGGGGTAGGGACGTGTTGCTACACACACACACACACCTGAGGATGCTGCTCTCAACTTAGCTAGCAACAACCTAGCTAGCTAGAAACAAAAGCAATTTGTACAGCTTTCACATTTATGTTAAACGATGTAAACGTTCACGACAGATATCTCTTCTTCATTTTTTATCTACCACAAACAGGGTTAGAAACCGTAACGCTGTATCATACTTTGTAGATAATACTAGAATCTACATGAGAATGACATCCGTGGAAGACACAACGAGCCTCCAGGCAAATATCCACCAAGTCTTCCTCTGATGTTTAATGAGGACATATTTCAGTTTCCACATTGTGGAAACACTTAAATAAATCACGTAATTCAATTTTTTAATGTGTATATTCTGCTGACCTTGCTTGTGGAAAGACTAGACGTATTTTCAGTATGTCACATGTCTATACCCCTTTATCCCATAACGTACCAAAAAATTATCGGAGTACAAGACAACCTTAAACCACTCAAAACAGACTAAGTTAAATGTGAGAGACCTGGGATTGATAATGTCAGAAGACCTCACATTCAAGGAGCACAAAAATGTTGTTGTTGCATCTGCAAGGAAGATGATAGGTTGGATAACTATAACTTTCAGGAGATGCCAAAGAACGGTACCAGTCTTCAGGTCACTCGTTCTCTCTAGGCTGGAATATTGTTGCATACTGACTGTCCCCTTCAAGACAGGCGTAACAGCAGAGCTGGATAATGTACAGAGATCTTTCACGTCTCGTATAAACTCAGTTAAGCACCTAAATTATCAGCTTGATAAAGCTCTTCACAGGGCGAAGCATGATTAAGCTATACACAGCGAAACATAACTTCATAAAGCTCTTCACATTGAAACTTGACAAAGCTCTAAAAAGGGGCGAAACGATGTCCCAACGAAAGCTTCACAAATTGCGCTTTCTCGTCCCTTTTGTAGGCAGTACACTATGCGGATACAACCTGTCTGGCATCTACGAGTTCTTTACCGCCGTACCACGAAAAGGAAACCACTATTCAACTACTTCTGTTGGCGCAGTATTCGCGAAAGATTTGTGAGAGGTGATCACCTGAACCAGGTGACCTATCCTGGTTCACCTGTACCCCCCCTCGTCGGCTGCTCAGGTAATCTATCGCACATTATCTGCTCATCACCCTCATCACCTACCTTTACCTTTGATGAGTTCCGAGAGTTTTCCTACTCCCGGAGCCCGGCCAATGGGCCAGGCTCGTCTGGTGCTTGCATTGTCAACTAAACTGTTACTGCTGATGGCCCGCAGCCCTGTATCTTCATCACAGCCTGGTTGATATGGCACCAGGTGAAGATACTTTTCTGGTTTCCTCTTGAAGATTTCTACACTTGTTCCAGCAGTTTCTGATATCTTTTGATAAGATGTTGAAATAGTCTGGGACCACGAATGTTGATACAGTGTTCCCTAATTGTGCTCACTGCACCCATGTTTTTCACTGGGTTTATCTTATGCAGCATCTTCTGAATTTTGCCTTGGAGCAGAGGTGAACTATGATTGCTAGCTAACGCATCGTGTAACAAGAGATGATGAAATGAGGAGAGAGGATGAGAGCAGAGAGATGAGCAGAAGAGATGAGATGAGAGAGAGAGAGAGAGAGAGAGAGAGAGACAGAGAGAGAGACAGAGAGAGAGTAGTGGTCATCTCGTGGGAAAGGCATCATTCAGCGGTCAGCTACTCCACTCTGTTATACAATCCCCAGTCAGTAATTACCACCAGTCACTCGAATCCATATATGCGTAATTGTGCGTGCGTGTGTGTGTGCGTGTGTGTGTGTGTGTGTGTGTGTGTGTGTGTGTGTGTGTGTGTGTGTGTGTGTGTGTGTGTGTGTGTGTGTGTGTGTGCTGTGTGTGTGTGTGACCTACTATGTGAACCTGTTTCCCAGCCCCTCTCTCTCTCTCTCTCTCTCTCTCTCTCTCTCTCTCTCTCTCTCTCTCTCTCTCTCTCTCTCTCTCTCTCTCTCTCTCTATCTCTATCTTCTATCTATCTCTCTCTCTTCCTCTATCTCAAATTTTCTTTCCCTTCTCCCCCTTTCAATACTTTCCTCACCTTTCCCCCACACTCTCACCCTCAGGTGTTTAACAGGTGTTACACATGTGTAACACAGGTGTTACACAGGTGTAGCACAGGTGACTCACAGGTGTTACACAGGTATAGCACAGGTGTAGCACATGTGTTGCACAGGTGTAGCGCAGTTGTTGCACAGAACTATATCACTGCAGGTATATAATAATTACGTATTACTGAAGATCCATAATTACTATGTATCACCATAAATCTATAATAACTATGTATCACTGTAGGCCTATAATTTTCAGTGCAGTAAAGTTTAATATCCGGCCTATATCTCCTCTAACACCCTCCCCCCTCACTAGACCTCCCCTCACCCCTACCTCCCCCAGCGTAGGTACCACAGCTGTCGTAAGGTAGGGGAGGGAGGGAACGGGGGAGGGAGGAATGGCGGGAGAGGGGAGGGGATGAAGGAGAGAGGGAGGGGGTGTTTCGCTGGTACTGGTGATCCCTTCCTCACCCCCTCCCCTATCCCCTACTACCCACTCCCCTCCACCCCTCCCCCTTCCCCTTCCCTTACTGTCCAGATGGTAGCGTCAGCCTCCATCCCACCCGTGGGAAAATATAGAGGGGGTGATGAGGGAGGGGAGATGAGGGGAAGGGCGGGGAGGGGATGTGATGCTCCTACAGGTTCCCTGTCTCCATCCGTCCTTCCCTCCCTCCCTCAATCCCTCCTTCTTCCCTCCATCCTCCTTCCTTACTCTCGCTCCTTCACTCGCCTAGGTTGTAATGGTTGTAATGGGATCCTTAACCTTGTCAAGCTGGCACTGGACAAGCACCTAAAGTCAGTTCCTGATCAACCGGGCTGTGGCTCGTACGTTGGTTTGCGTGCAGCCAGCAGCAACAGCCTGGTTGATCAGGCTCTGATCCACCAGGAGGCCTGGTCACAGACCGGGCCGCGGGGGCGTTGACCCCCGGAACTCTCTCCAGGTAAACTCCAGTTATGGTGGTAGTTGTAATGGTGGTAGTTATGGGTAGTTGTAATGGTGGTAGTTGTAATGCTGGTAATTGAGACGATTAGTAGTAGTAGTAGTAGTAGTAGTAGTAGTAGTAGTAGTAGTAGTAGTAGTAGTAGTAATAATAATAATAATAATAATAAATAATAATAATAATAATAATAATAATAATTATTATATATTATTATTATTATTATTATTATTATTATTATTATTATTATTATATTATTATTATTATTATGAGTTAGGGCTAAACCAGTAGGGGTCATACAGCACCTGAAAAATGAGATATAACGAGGTTAGATACTAAGATAGAGATGGTAGCTCCAGCTCCTCGGATCAAGACCTCTTCACCAGCATCGAGGCAACACTATGAATGAGACACAATGGGACTAAAGATCTTTGTTTATTCCACCGAGAATTTTTTATAATTATTAATTAAGAGCATTTATTTTGTTCCAACGGCAGCAAGATGGTGGTAAGGGGAAAGGGAGGGTTAGGGGAGAGAGTTGAGAGAAGAGTGGAGGAGAGCGTGTGATAAGAAAGTAGGGGAGGACGTGATGATGAGACTGAGAAGTGGGGAAGACAGGTATGTTTTAGTAATAATTAATAGGTTTATGAGAGAGAGTAGGAGGAGAGACGTGTTGATGAGAGAGAAGTGGGGAGAGACGTGTGGATGAGAGAGAAGTGGGGAGAGACGTGTGAGAGGAGAAGGTGGGGAGAGACGTGTGGATGAGAGAGAAGTGGGGAGAGAAGTGTGGATGAGAGAGAAGTGGGGGAGAGACGTGTGGATGAGAGAGAAGTGGGGGAGAGACGTGGGATGAGAGAGAAGTGGGGAGAGACGTGTGGATGAGAGAAAGTGGGAGAGACGTGTGGATGAGAGAGAAGTGGGGGGAGACGTGTTGGATGAGAGAGAAGTGGGGGAGAGACGTGTGGATGAGAGAGAAGTGGGGGAGAGACGTGTGGATGAGAGAGAAGTGGGGAGAGACGTGTGGATGAGATGAGAAAGTGGGGGAGACGTGTGATGGAGAGAGAAGGTGGGGGGAGTGGAAGACGTGTTGATGAGAGAAGTGGGGAGAGACGTGTGGATGAGAGAGAAGTAGGGGGAGAGACGTGTGATGAGAGAGAAGTGGGGGAGACGTGTTGATGAGAGAGAAGTGGGGAGAGACGTGTTGATGAGAGAGAAGTGGGGGAGACGTGTTGATGAGAGAGAAGTGGAGACTGATGAGAACAGTGTTGAGCTTGTAGAAGAAGTGGGAGAGAGACGTGTATGATGAGAGAGAGTGGGGATGAGACTGTGTTGATGAGAGAGAAGTGGGGGAGAGACGTGTTGATGAGAAGAGAAGTGGGGTGAAGACGTGTTATGAGAGAGAAGTGGGGGAGACGTGTTGATGAGAGAGAGAAGTGGGGGGAGACGTGTTGATGAGAGAGAAGTGGGGGAGACGTGTTGATGAGAGAGAAGTGGGGGAGAACGTGTTGATGAGAGAAGTGGGGAGAGACGTGTTGATGAGAGAGAAGTGGGGGAGAGACGTGTGATGAGAGAGAAGTGGGGGAGAGACGTGTGATGAGAGAGAAGTGGGGAGAGACGTGTTGATGAGAGAGAAGTGGGGGAGAGACGTGTGGATGAGAGAGAAGTGGGGGAGAGAACGTGTGGATGAGAGAGAAGTGGGGAGAGACGTGTGGATGAGAGAGAAGTGGGGGAGAGACGTGTTGATGAGAGAGAAGTGGGGGTGAGACGTGTGGATGAGAGAGAAGTGGGGAGAGACGTTTTGATGAGAGAGAAGTGGGGGAGAGACGTGTTGATGAGAGAGAAGTGGGGGAGAGACGTGTGAATGAGAGAGAAGTGGGGGAGAGACGTGTGGATGAGAGAGAAGTGGGAGGAGAGACGTGTGGATGAGAGAGAAGTGGGGGAGACGTGTGGATGAGAGAGAAGTGGGGGAGAGACGTGTTGATGAGAGAGAAGTGGGGGAGAGACGTGTGGATGAGAGAGAAGTGGGGAGAGACGTGTGGATGAGAGAGAAGTGGGGAGAGACGTGTGGATGAGAGAGAAGTGGGGAGAGACGTGTGGATGAGAGAGAAGTGGGGGAGAGACGTGTGGATGAGAGAGAAGTGGGGAGAGACGTGTGAGATGAGAGAAGTGGGGAGAGACGTGTGGATGAGAGAGAAGTGGGGAGAGACGTGTGGAAGAGGATAGAGTATAGATGGGGGAGAGACGTGTGGATGAGAGAGAAGTGGGGAGAGACGTGTGGATGAGAGAGAAGTGGGGGAGAAACGTGTGGATGGCTCCAACTTCATCCTGTTCCTTACTTGTATGTCTCATAACAATAAAAATGCTTTCAAATGAGCTGATGTAGTTAACAGCTCTTAGCTTGTCAATAAAGTTAGGAATCCTTAACCTGTAAATAGCTTGTCAATGAACCTAGGGATCCTTAACCTTGTCAAACCTTGCGTAAAAAAAAAAAACAGAAGTGGGGGAGAGACGTGTGGATGACAGAGAAGTGAGGGGAAATGTGTGAATGAGAGAGAAGTGGGGGAGAGACGTGTGAATGAGAGAGAGAAGTTGGGGAGAGACGTGTGGATGAGAGAGAAGCGAGGAGAGACGTGTGGATGAGAGAGAAGTGGGGGAGAAACGTGTGGATGACATGAAGTGGAGGAGAGACGTGTGAATGAGAGAGAAGTGCGGGAGAGACGTGTGAATGAGAGAGAAGTGGGGGAGAGACGTGTGAATGAGAGAGAAGTGGGGAGAGACGTGTGGATGAGAGAGAAGTGGGGGAGAGACGTGTGGATGAGAGAGAAGTGGGGGAGAAACGTGTGGATGAGAGAGAAGTGGGGAGAGACGTGTGGATGAGAGAGAAGTGGGGGAGAGACGTGTGGATGAGAGAGAAGTGGGGGAGAGACGTGTGGATGAGAGAGAAGTGGGGGAGAGACGTGTGAATGAGAGAGAAGTGGGGGAGAGACGTGTGAATGAGAGAGAAGTGGGGGAGAGACGTGTGAATGAGAGAGAAGTGGGGGAGAGACGTGTGGATGAGAGAAAAGTGAGGAGAGACGTGTGGATGAGAGAGAGGTGAGGAGAGACGTGTGGATGAGAGAGAAGTGAGGAGAGACGTGTGGATGAGAGAGAAGTGAGGAGAGACGTGTGAATGAGAGAGAAGTGGGGAGAGACGTGTGGATTAGAGAGAAGTGAGGAGAGACGTGTGGATGAGAGAGAAGTGGGGGAGAGACGTGTGGATGAGAGAGAAGTTGTGAGAGACATGTGGATGAGAGGGAAGTGAGGGGAGAGACATGTGGATGAGAGAGAAGTGGAGGATTGACGTGTGGATGAGAGAGGCAGGGAGAGAGACGTGCGGATGAGAGAAGTGAGGGGAGACACGTGTGGATGAGAGAGAAGTGAGGGGAGAGACGTGTGGATGAGCGAGAAGTGAGGGGAGACGGATAGAGAAG